TCCTCCCTCTTCTCTCTCTCCCTCTCCTCCTCCTCCTCCCTCTGTTCTCCCAGCTCCCCCCTGGGTCCTCTTCCCCTTTTCCCCTTCTCACTCACCTTCTCCTTACCTTTCCTCCTGACTTTCCATTCCTGCTCTTCCTCTACCTTCTCACCATCTGCCTCTTCCCCTGCTCCCATCCTGTCTTCCTGCTCCTCACCTCTACTTACCTCCTCCCCCTCCTCCACTTCACCTCTTTGCCCCCTCCTCTGTTCTGTCTCTTCCCCATCCTCATCCTCCCCCTCTTTCTTTTCCAGTAGTGTGGCTATTTGAACCCAGGAGTTTTGTCACGGTCTACAACTGCAGCCCTTTTTTAATTTTTATTTTTTGAGACAGGGTTTCGCCAAGTTGCCCAGGTTGAACTGCATCACCCTCACTTCCTTTCTTTTCAGTTCTAAAGGAGATAAGACTCTTAGTTTGAGGATGTAGCCATCACTGAACAGAAGGGAGTGTGGTACAAATCCTTATGTGGAGCCAAAGTAAAATGCTTAAAGGAGGGCTGAGGAACCCAGCGAACCTAAGGTAGACACAATCTCACTGAATTCTCAGCACTATATTTTTTCTGTGAGGGTAATGTACAGAAGCTCTCCTTTAAATCTTTCTCTATTACTAGCAGCTTTGAGGTGTCAATTTCAGACTACCAGGAGGAAGTGGCCCAGGCAGTACCAAGAGTTGCTGTGACACTCTGGAAAAGTGAGAGACCTCAGACACCAGAACACAGGAGTTTCACTGCCAGTGCTTGGCTGTCAGTCCAGTAGGCCCTAGGCAGGACTGAGGATGCAGCCTAGGACTCAACCTTCTGAGAAATCTTAGGGGACCCAGTGACCAAGACATTGAGGCCTTGGTTCTAGTCAAGATGGCCTGTCTCTGCCGAAGATGCTCATAGGATCTCATTTTCCCCATCCAGGTAAACGAGTCACCTGTCATCCTAAGCATAGTCCTGCCTGCTGTCCCACACCATAGCCATCATGCCCCGGGGACAGAAGAGTAAGCTCCGTGCTCGACAGAAACGCAGCCAGGCCCGAGGTGAGGCCCAAGCTCAGGCCCAAGCTCAGGCCCAAGCTCAGGCCCAAGCTCAGGCCCAAGCTCTACAGAATGCTCAGGCCACTGCAACACAGGAAGATTCCCCTTCCTGCCCCTCTTCTGTTGCTGGAGATGCTGCTGGCCTTCCCCAGAAGTCTCTAGGAGAGCCATCCACCAGCACTGCTGCTGCTGCTGCTGCTGCTGCTGCTGCTCCTGCTCCTGCTGTTGCTTCAAAGAAAAGATCAGGCAAAGGTTCCAAGGGAAGAGGGCCAGAAAGGGAAGGGGCTGCTTCCCCCAAGGTCCCATCCTCCAGTGAGAGCTTAAGAAAAGAGCTTATGGTGAGGAAGGCAGAAAAGGTGATGCAGTACCTGTTGAGCAAATACAAAATGAATGAGCCCATTCTGAAGGGGGAAATGTTGAAGATTGTCCACAAAAGGTTCAGAGAGCAATTCCCTGAGATCCTCAAGATAGTCTGTGGGCGCATTCAGCTGATCTTTGGCCTGGAGTTGAAGGAACTCAAGCCAGGTGGTAGTTCCTACACTCTAACCGCCATGTTAAATCTCCCCGGTGACAAGAACCTGGGGAGTAACTTCCCCAAAAGTGGACTTATCCTCTCTCTCCTTGGAGTCATCTTTTTGCATGGTTCCGCTGCTGATGAGAAAGACGTCTGGGAATTCCTGGACATATTAGGAATCAATGATAAGAGCAAGCACTACATCTTTGGAGATGTCAGGAAGCTCATCACTAAAGATCTGGTTGAGGAAAAATACGTGGAGTACCACCAGGTTGCCGGCAGTGATCCTCCACGTTACAAGTTCCTGTGGGGTCCCAGAGCCTATGCCGAAACCAGCAAGATGAAAGTCTTGGAGTTTTTGGCCAAGGTCACCTGTTCTGAGGCCCGTGACTATCCATGCTGTTATGAAGAAGCTTTGAGAGAAGAGAAAGAGAGAGCCAAAACCAAAGTTGAAGCCAAGCGTGGAGCTACTGCTCAAGCCAGTCCAAGCCCGAAGGCCAGCTCCAGCCTCTCTGCACGCTAATGATATGTGAGGAAGAATCTTCACTTTGTCATTTAAAATGCCAGTTAATCTTTGTTCTTGTTATGTGTGAATAACATTTGAAAAATTTTCGTTCTTACATCACTCAAGGACCTTCTTTTCCACAGAGTGTTTGTTTAGGTTTTCAGTATAATTTTATGATTGTTTTGGATCAGACATTCTTTAGTGTTTACAGGTTTTGTGATAAGGTATTGGTTTGTTTTGAAACACAAATTGGAATTCCTGAAATCACTTTGATGATCCACACCAAGGTAACATACCACCGAGACAGGAGTATCCTTGGAAATAGGAAATATCCACAGTAAAATATTTGGGATCAGCTCTGTGATAGTTAACTGTTGCATCAACTTGTATAGGGAACACCCAGCCGATTGGATCATCTTAATTCTGGGTGTGGCTGAATGGATTTACTGAAGACAGAAGACCCAGTCTGAATGGATTAAAAAGGGAAAGGAAGGAAGAAGGCTTACTTGTGAGTCTTCTGAGGAGCTCCAGTCTGCATGTTGAACATCATCTGGCTTCTAACACAGACCCATTGGTCTTTGATGACAGACTCTTTGGCCTCTTGTTAGAGACTCCCACAGCACTCTACAGTGATCTCCAGACATTCTAGTTTTGACGGAATTCTCCTGTTCTTCAGCATGCAGACAGGTGTTTTGCACTGTCACACCTGACGCTGTGGGTGGCCATTGTAAGCCTACCTTGTAAATCCTAATCAGTTTGTATGTTCTATTTTATTTTGTTCTCTAGTGTGCATTGACTGATATATGCTGATGAAGAAAACTAAAAGATTCTCACTTCTTACTTTGCTTTACTTAATTCAGTTTCTCTTTTTGTACATTTAAATGGCTTATACCTAAATTTGCTTATGTTGTTCAAGAATGTGTAAGAAATTAATCCATCCCAAATTTGAATGTCTGTCTTCGGGAAATTTTCAAGTTTTGTCCCGGGGTTGTAAAGTCAAATGAGTTAACTCTAGCTCATGCAATGATAGGTTGTGGGAAAACTAGCACTACAGAAGTGGATGAGATTCTGTTTCATGGAGAAGTAAGAAACAGTGGAAAGTAGGGATGGAGAGAAGACATGACTTAATTTTCCTTGATAAGAAGCATTTTTGCCTAATGTTTTCTGATTTTGTTTAGTTTGTTACTGTCCTTCAGTGCTACATATTCTGTGATACCATCTGGTTTAAAACTTTAAAAATATTTGAGGTACATAGATGATAAATGTTTCAGGTGAAATTCATTATAGTACTAATGCCAGTCTTTAATGTCTTCATAAAAGGCAGACACTACCACAGAGGTTCACTTATGCTACATACCTACTTCCCCTGCTACAAGTCATAGCCTATTAAATTTCTAGTGTTCTCTATTCTGCCTTCAGGTCAGTTTGGTTTGGTGCTTTCCACATTATGAAAGAGAACAAGTAGTATTTGTGTGCATGGCTTATTTCACTTAATATCTTTCAGGTTCATCTGTGTTGTTACTAATGAGAGTATATCCTCTTTATGACTGAATAGTATTCCACCATGTATGTGAACCACCTTTGCATTATCCACTCATCAGTTGAAGGGCACTTAGGTTGATTCTGACTTAGCTAATATGCAGTTACTTTTTAAATGGTCTTCCATAGCACGACTAAATCATCTAACGTGTGAATAGGACTTAATTTTTCAAATGAGTCACTCTAAGGTACTGCTGTGTGTTACAATATTTGTTTGATTAATCTTCTGTTATTACCCCTGCTGATCATATGGACTTCGACCTTTGGACCAAGAATAACCTTCGGCTTTTCTACCATTGAGATGTCAGTGTTATATTCAGAGGGATAATTGGACTACCTAAGGATAGTGACTGGAACGTCTGTGAGTTACAAACATTCATTGTAGAAACGGTTTTGTACCTATTTGTCATTAATGTAGGTTTTACACAAGTTTTTGTAACCAGTTTCTTTTAATACAATAAAAATTTAAAGATTCTGTTTCAAAGAAAGTCTTGTCTTTACCAACTTTTAGCTGTGGAAGACTAACATATTTACCCAAAGAAAGTAAAGTTGCTGACTAGCCAAATCAGTTAGTATCAGTGAATCTTCAAATCAGAAGATTTAGTAGGATAAAATACAAAAGCATCTCCTTTTCTGATGGCAAAAATGAATCAAAGAAGCATCAAAATTCATGCACAGGAAAATAACAAGTAGAGCTAATTTGTTAAAGGGTACATAGCAAAATATCACACTTTCTCACTTATTTTAGTGACAGCACTGATACCGTCTTAAAAATATTTTTTTCTGTTTTTAAAAGAATGTGTTGATGCATACTGTATATACCACATACTTCCTCAGTTTTACACAATTCAATAGTTTGGGCATATTGCATTTTTAAAAATTATGGTAAAACATTTAACTGCACTATTTAGGGTTATTCTTTATATGCATGATGTTGTATATCCATCATCATTAACACTTTATCCTTGTGAAAAAAGTACATGCAAACAACAGGTTTTATTCTCAGAACTTTCAGTATTTAACTTCAGTATTCGCTTGTGTGGTTTTCCTAGAATAGTGAGATATAATTTTCATTTTTTCTTGTCTAGATGGAAGGTGTTAATTTTCCTCTGGCCTCTTTCATGAGGTATTCTTTATTGTTGATTTGTGTAGTTCCAACATGATACCCCTGGATCTGCGTTCTTGTTTTCAACATTAATTGTATTTGGTTTCTCTGAGCTTTCTAGATCTGTTGTTTGGTGTTTCAAAAGAATTTTAGAGAAATTCTGTCATTGTTTCAAGTATTTCTTCTCTCCTTTTTTTCTTTTCTTTTGACTTTACTCATTGTGAATATCTCTGTAGTTGTCCTGAATTTTCTGTATCTGTGTGTTAAGAAATTTATTTCCCTTCCTTCCTTAGTTTTGAATGTTTCTATTGAGATATCATGAGTCAGCCTTTCCTCAGCAATGTGAATCTATAATGACCCAAAGATATTCTTCATTTCTAGTATCTCTAGCATATTTTGAGGGGGGTAGTTCTTACAGTTTTCATGTCTCTGCTTACATTTTTTATCTAGTCTTACAGGTGGTCTATCATTTACTACTGATAAGATTTAAATGTTTCAAATCTCAAATCTGATAATTCCACAATTTCTGTTACACCTGACTCTGGTTATGATGCTTGCACTACCTCTTTAAGCTATGTTTCATGATTTTGAGTATGTCTTTTAAAATTTCCTGGTATCTAACTGCGATACACGAGGTTAAAGGAACTGCCGTAAACAAGCTTTTGGATATATGGTGGTAAGATACCAGGAAGGGAAATTGTTCTTTATTTCTATGATTAGCTCTCACTCTTGTAGGGAAGGTATGCCTTTGCCTGTGGACTGTGAATCTCACCCAATTGCTTCAGTGTTCACTGCCCACCCCTTACCTTGAGTAGGATGACTCCAGTGTATTACAGTTGGGTATTTCCCTGTCCCTTGTGAAAGGCTGGAGCTAACTAGAGTTAGATACTGTTCCTCCTCCAGATCGGTTAGGTTCAGCGAAAACCACAGAAGGTTAGGGTCTGTGTAGTATCTCCCGAAAGCAGACCTTGTTAAAAAATTATTGTGCACATATTAGAAAAGTGCCTTTTCTTTTCTAGCTTGAATCATGACAAGATACTGGGAGAATGTACTTGAGCTTCTATGGGTAAAACGAAATTCTACCTGATGATGAGCCCCAGGCAATGTGTGAATTATGTGAGATTTCAGCTCTTGCATTTAGCATCCAGAAACTTGAGTTCTTTGTGTTTTTCTGTTGGCCTCTTCAATTTTGGGGTCAGCAGATTGCACTAGGATCCCACTTCTCTAGCAGGTAGATTGTTTCTTCAGGTTTAACCGTTAAGACCAAGTGGCAGTTTGCAAGCATCACACTTCATGGAAGTGTGTCCAGCTGTTTTATTTTTGAAAAAGATTTTTTTTCTTGTATGTAAATGTTGTCAGGTCTTATATAATAAAAGCTTTTGCACAGAACTAAGTTGGATTCCAGAAAATGAAGGAAGTATCTTTGCAAAAATGCTTTCAATAAATATCCAAAAATCTGTTCCACAAATTTAAATCAACATCTGAAACAGCCTCAAATAGAAATATATTAACCAAAAAATTTAATCTGAAATTCTTTATCTACATTCTGTAACTAGGCTATCCTAGAGAATATCTTTTTCTGTTCTGACTGCCAAGTTTATCCTCTGTAAAATGAGGCGACAGGATAAAATAATTTCTGAGATTACTTTATGTTCTTCCATCTGTAAAACTATCTCAGCAAATATTTGTTATCTGGGAAACAGAACTAGAAGTTGGGAAATACGTTGAAAAGATTCTGTTCTTGAGAAATAAGTTAATTGGAAGGTAAACACAAGTTAAATGTTGCCGGTAAGACCCAGAGTTCAAGGAGCAGTGAGGTTACTACTCAATTTTGTAATTATGGATGATCTCTGAAAGCTGTAATTTTGGTGGGGACATGTCTTTGAGGGGCTCATGGTAGTCACAGAATAATTGAGTGACTTTTGGCCAGAGGAGAATAGAAAAGACAAAAGTAAGCAGTTTGTTGCACCCAGTGATATTTGTAAAGGAACAATTAGAGATGGACTTAGAAGTAGTCAAATCATAGTTGAAATAGGTCAAATTGAGAAACTTAAATTGTACCCTTTGGGTAAGGTGAAGTTGTTATTAAGGGGATTAAAGTTTAGAACTGCTATGCACATTGGTATTCAACAATTAACTCTGCAGAGGTAACATTTGAAGTAGAATAAAAAAAATAATTTCAAAAGATGAAGAAGGGCATTTCAACCATAGGGAATGCTGTGTATAAAGGCACAGAATGGCGAAAATGCACTAAGTACCAGCGAAATGGAAAGCGGTCCATTATGGCAAGATAACAGAGCATCACATACACACAGTGAGAGAAGAAAAAGTGGGAACAAAGGAGGGTTCAACTTAGAGGGGCTCAGAACAGCAGGTCAAGTTATTTGGATGTTATTTTGCACAAAGGAAGCTTTCAGGATTCTCAAAGAAAAGACTGACATGATCTAAACTGCTCTTTATGAAACCCAAAACTCCTACAACTAAAAAGAAAAAAAAAAAATAGCCAGCCATAGCAGGGTCCACCTGTACTCTCAGTTACTCAGCAGGTTGGGACAGGAGGATCACTTAAGCCCAGGAGTTCAAGACGCCTGGGCAACACATCAAGACCCAGACTCTATATAAGTAAGTAAGGAAATAAATAAGCACAGCAACTCTAACTCCAACTTAAAGACAGCAATAAAAAGAAGATCACATTCCAGTTGCCTGGGCAAGAAATGAGAGACTGGAGACAGGCAGTGAACACCAACAGGGTAATAGATAACCAAGTAAAAACAAAGGCAGAAACATTAAGATTGAACAGTGCAAACAAAGAAAACACAAGAAAAAAAGCAATAGTCGTGTTAATAACACGTGTTGCAGATATCACTTGTCTGATAATTGTGTGTCAGAAACTGTGCTTGGATCTTTACATATATTATTTCATTGAATCTTTAAATCTCTCTGACACAGGTCATCCTCATTTTTTCTGATAAGAATATAAAAACAGAGAAGTTAACAAATTTGCTTATGGTTACAGAGTTTCTACTCAGACAGTTCTCAAATACTTTGTTAGTTCTTGGCCATTCTTCTGGCTTATTTCTGCAAAAGATAGAGAAGTACTCCACATAGATGTGTATGTTCTTTCCCACACACACACACAAATATTTTGTCTTTATTCTCACAACATTTTATGGGAAGGAATCATGTTTTGTGTGTCAATATTCCCGACTCCTAATATGTTTTCAGTCTATAGTGCACACTGAACATGAACATTAATTTTAATTTTTTTTTTTGCTTTTTCTCCGGTACTGGGAACCGAACTCACGACCTTGCACTTGCCAGGCAGGCGCTTTGCTGCTGAGCTAAATCCCCAGCCCCAATTTTAATTTTTTAAAGCACTGTACTCATGAAACAAGACGGAACAGAGCAAACTTGTTTGTGGATTTGCTCCAAAGTCCAGTATACATTCTGAACAGATGTTTTATAGTCATGTTCCCCTTTTTCCCCTTAGAGGGTCCCTGGAAAGGTTCACAGAAGCACATTTAAGATATTTCGATGTCCTAATATTTTGCTTAAAATGTGTAGGGCGAGGGATGTAGCGCAGGGTGCTTTCCTCGCACTCATGACCTGCTAGGTTCAACCCAGAGGACTGAAAAAAAAAGGGAGAGGTTGGGGAAAGAACCACTGTACCTCGTCCAGAAAAGTAGAGCAGGGAATGGTACATTGGCCCTCGTGTTCCCTGTTATCTATTCTCATTTCTTCACAATGATGCCCTCTTTGCTGGCAGAAAATGTATTTCAATACATCAGTCTTTCCTTTCTTACATTATTGGTAAAATTATGCTAAAAAAGTATATGTTTCCCCTTATACAACTATGCATATATTGTTTTAAATGTTTACCTGCTTTTATAAAGGAAAAATATCCTGTGCTTCTTACTTAAGAATAAAGTTTTCGAAAGGGAAGAAATTATTTTTTTATTAATTTTAATTTTGGTAAAATAAACCACACAAAATTTACTATTTACTTGTTTTAAAATGTATATATCAACCATGTAAACCATATTCACTGTCTTAGTTATTTTTCTCTCATTGCTGAGACAAAATACCTGACACCCAAAGTTAAAGGAGGAAAGGTTTATTTAGCTCACAGTTTGTAGATGTTTCAGTCCATAATCAGCTGGCTCCAAGGCAAGGTGACATGGCATACAAACATCACAGAGGAGAAATGCATTCATCGAAGGCAGAAGATACCAAAGCAAGCAAGGGACATTAGTAGTTTTTTCTCATCCTTTTATATTCTACCTAGGCTACCAGGCGTAGGACACTGCCAAACCA